CTTTCCTCTCGCCAGGCCAGTGGTTGCTTAGTGCTTACATAACCTTGGGGAAGAGGGACTTGTGAATCTTACAACTTTCCAGCTTCTGAAGTTTCCTTTAGTTTCTGAGTCTTGTGAACCTCCCTCTGACCTCTAGGAGGGAGAGTTTCAGTCAGGGGAAATAGGGATAGAATTGCCTCTTCTCGGAAGAGAGGCTGGTGCAGAAATCCAGTGCCCTCAGCCCGAGCCAGCCCAGATGTGGAAGGGTGATGTCAGATCCCAGGCCCTACAGGTGCTGTTTGAGCCCTCCCGGGACACAGTGCACCGGCCTATGCGTTTTTATACAAGATTTCTCTCTCAGTTTGCTTTTCCGTTGCTGTAATAATCAACCCTGACCAGAAACAGCCTGGGGAAGACAAGGTTTGTTTCAGCTTACCCTTTCCAGGTCCATCAGTAAGGGAAGCCGGGACAGGAACTGAAGCAAACACGCAGAGAAAGCTGCTTATGGGCTGGCCCTGTGGCTTCTGCTTCGCTACTGTCGTATAAGCCCAGGACTACCTGCCCAAGGGTGGCACCACCCACAGCAGGCTGAGCCCACCTGCATTAATTAGTAGATATGAAAATGGCCCATAGACGTGTCCACAGGCCAATCTGATATAGGCAATTTCTCAACTCCAGTTCCCTCTGCCCAGGTGTGTCAAGTTGACAATGAAACTAATCAGGAAACTGTCCTTTAGGTCATGGTGGTGAGGCCTTGTGACCTGTTCTGAGCCAGGGAGCCCTTCCCTCCCTGCAGTGTTTGAGTGCACCGTGCCTTCCCCGGGGTTGGTAGAGAAGCTGGCAACCCCACCAGTGCCTAGTCCTCCTTACACCTGCTGTTTGTCTCCCACACACAGGGGAAGAGTTTTGTCTATGCTGGCTCCAACTCGGGAGTGGTCCAGGCTCCCCTGGCCTTCTGCGGAAAGCACGGTAGCTGTGAGGATTGCGTGCTGGCGCGGGACCCCTACTGTGCCTGGAGCCCAGCCGCCAGGGCCTGTGTTACCTTGCACCAGGCCGTGGGCTCCAACAGGTATGAGTACGGACGGGACTGTGTGTATGTGCCCCGTGGACAGGCTGGAGAGTAATGGGTGCCTGTTGTCTTCCAGGGCCTGGATTCAGGAGATGAGTGGTGACACGTCCTCGTGCCTGGGTGAGTGGCCCTCCTTTGCCTTCCTGCGCAGGATGCAAAAGTTCCCGGTCTTTCCATTTCATGCGGCTCGATTGTTTTCCATTCCCCTCCCTGAACAGAGGTCAGGCGGCATGCAGCAGACCTGTGACCTCTCCTTGTGGTGGACCTGTGGTCTTTCTCTGTCCGTGATTCCAACAAGAGTGCTCTAAGCCACACAGGGTGTATCGGGTCACTGGAAGGCATGTCCTGCCCCACACCAAGCTCCTCTGCTTAGCTGGGCTCCTTAAGCAAAACCTGAGATTGTTAAGAATGAGAAGGAAGGAGCCCTTGGGCATGGCCAAACAGCCCAAATTGAAAACCAGTGATTCGGGAACATTTGGTGCAGGGTCATACTTCAAGGAGAAAATCTTACACTAGAATGGTAGTTTCATGTGTAAAATGTCATTTAAGGTAATTTAAGGCTGGGGAGATGGCTGTTTGTAGAACCTGACTTCGATCCCAGAACTCATGTAAAACAGCTGGCCATGGTGGTTTGTGCCTGTGAGCCCAAACCTGAGGAGGGCAGGACAGGGGGATCCCTGAAACTTGCTGGCCCCAGACAGCCTAGCTGGCTTAGCAAATACTAGACAAATGATGGATCCTGGCTCAAAAAAAGGAAGAAAAAAAAAAAGATAACTGTTACCTGATAGACTTCTGGCCTCTATATATGAATACACACTCACACACAGAAAATTGTACAAAATTCCCTCCAGGCTATATGTATAAGGTGTCACTATATTACAAATGAAATTTCATATTTAGATTTTGGTCCCCTTCCAAAGATAGCTGTGTCATTTTATATATGCAAATATCCCCTACCCCAAACTTTTTCCCGTCTCTGGTATTTCCAACAAAAGACACACTTATAATTAGTTCCTGTCCTCTTGAGGGTCCCACTACTGATGGCTGGCCATTGGGGAATAGCCGTGACCAGAGGTAGACATAGTATCTCGCAGGGCTTCTTCTAATCTGCCTTCCCAGCAGATGAGGTCAGATGGGCCCAAGCCCTGTGCCCCCTTCCCTCCCCAGCCATGTCACAGACATGTAAGAAGAGGGTCCCTGGTTGCTGGCTGGCCTACCTCAGCCATTAGCAAATCATTTGGCAGCTGACCCTGGGTACTACTGCAGATGGAGGAGCTGACCAGTACACAGCCCTCCAGCCTGCTGAGCTTTCTGCAGGGACAGAGTGAGAATAGGGACTTCTCAAAGCTGTCACCGAATTCTTCATTTCTGGGGGCTGCTGCCGGGTCTCGGATATCTTTATCTTGGTCCTGAAGATTCCGTCTGGCTCCAGAGGGTGAAACTCTCTGTCGTCCTGTGGGTATTAACCTGGTTTTGAGAGCAATTGAGTCGTCAGACGGAGTTGTTGATGCTGAGCACATTTATTTTGATGTTCCAGATAAGAGTAAAGAAAGTTCCCATCAGCATTTTTTCAAGCACGGTGGCATAGCCGAACTCAAATGCTTCCAAAAGTCCAACCTGGCTCGGGTCGTGTGGAAGTTCCAGAATGGCGAGTTGCAGGCTGTGAGTCCCAAGTATGGCTTTGTGGGCAGGAAACACCTGCTCATCTTCAACCTGTCAGAGGGAGACAGTGGCGTGTACCAGTGCCTGTCGGAGGAAAGGGTGAAGAATAACACAGTCTCCCGGCTGCTTGCCAAGCACATCCTGGAAGTAAAGGTGGTTTCTCAGACCCCCACGTCGCCTGCCTCCCAGGCTGTTCAGACAGAAGGTAGTAGGATCACTTCCAAAATGCCGGTGGCGTCTACCCAGGGGTCCTCTCCCTCTACCCCGGTTCTGTGGGCAACCTCCCCCAGGGCCGCTACCCTACCTCCCAAGTCCTCCTCCACCGGTACATCCTGTGAACCGAAAATGGTCATCAACACGGTCCCCCAGCTTCACTCGGAGAAGACGGTGTATCTTAAGTCCAGTGACAACCGCCTGCTCATGTCCCTCCTACTCTTCATCTTTGTCCTCTTCCTCTGCCTCTTTTTCTACAACTGTTACAAGGGCTACCTGCCCGGACAGTGCTTAAAATTCCGCTCAGCCGTGCTGCTTGGGAAGAAGAAGCCCAAGTCAGATTTCTCCGACCTGGAGCAGAGCGTAAAGGAGACGCTGGTGGAGCCTGCGAGCTTCTCACAGCAGAATGGCGACCAGCCCAAGCCAGCCCTGGACACTGGCTATGAAACCGAGCAGGACACCATCACCAGCAAAGTGCCCACAGACCGTGAGGACTCCCAGCGGATCGATGACCTCTCCGCCAGGGACAAACCGTTCGATGTCAAATGTGAACTGAAGTTTGCAGATTCGGATGCTGATGGGGACTGACGCCGGGGCGCCCCAGGCCGCGCCCCGCAGTCTTCGTGGAGAGTGTCGTGTTGAGCCCATTCAGTAGCCGAGTCTTGTTGTCGTGCGCCAGCCTCAGTCCTTTGTCTCTTTTCTCTTGGGTTGAGTCTGTGACTTGTCCCTCTTTGTCCTTTTGGGAAACAAATATCTATTCCAGTCTCAAGTCCTGCAGTCGTCGGAGCGCTTATTTAAGATGAACCTGAGCCCTTTGTGTACTGGGGAGCGATGGCCGCCTCTGTGGGCCGAGAAGAGTAAACCTTCCTCTTCCCTACTCATAGCAGCCACTAAAAGATAATTTAATTCCAGATTGGAAATGACCTTTTAGTTTATCAGATTGGTAACGTATTACCTGCTGTCCAGATTGGCACGGACTCTTTCTTTCACTTAATTATTTTTTAGGATTTTTTTTGTTCTGATTTTGTTGATGTCTTAGGTCATTTTTTTTAATTACTGAAGGAGATGTTTTAATATTCGTGAGAAGATGAGCATTTTCTAGATTTTTGTTATATATGGAGATAAAATATGGCTTATGTCGCTTAAGATTCTCAGGGATAGACTTATTTTTGCTAAATGCATTCTTTCCTGCTGTTAGGAATGTAGGCCTGAAACTGTCTCTCGGACCCACTCACCCTTTATTTTGGTGGGGTTTTGTTTTGTTTTTGTCTTTTAATCTTACACATTTTGAAGGAAGTACCATTTTCCAAGATTGTCTTTCTGTGCTTTTTTTTTTTTTTTTTTCCTGCCGTACATCTGCAAGGTGGGTTTTGAGTAAGGGCAGGTGGCCCAGTGGCTCTGGGTGGCGATTGAGCTGGTCCTGTGAGGGGAGGAGGGTTAGCACCCCGATGGCCCTGCTGCTGTTTGAGATCTGCTGCCTAATGGATGGAGCCTTCATGAGGACAACCTTGGTTCTTGATCACTTCCTGTCTCTCCTCCATTACATCTCACATCCCTGCCCTTGGACTTCCGCCTTGACTGTCCACGTAAGACAAGACAGAAATGGATCGGGTAGTTGGGCCCCCAGCCCTGAGACAGTGACCACAGCATCCCGTGTGGCGGCCGCTGCTGCAGCGTGACTTCTGCCAGTGTCTTTCAGGATGTGACTGGGCGGTACGAGCCTAGCATTTGTTTCTCGCTCAGTGTGTGTGGAACACTCATTCCATGTAGAGAGTGGTGAACTCTGGATTGCCTGTGCCGGGTAGACGCTCATCTTCAGCATGCCGTGGTCTCATCATTCGGTGTAAACATTTGTGTTTATAAGATTTACTTTGTTTTTATTTTTCTACTTTTGAACTGTATACATTTGAAAAGTACCCAAATAAACCAGAAGCTTTATCGTTGACTGGGCCAGCCTCTCCTTAGTGGAGGCTGTGCGGGCCTCCTGTCCCCCGGTGATGGCTCTAGGTGGGGGTCGGCCCTCGTTGCTTTTCTTTTCTCATCCCTAAGTGTCTGTTTCTTGCTTTACCTTCTCTGGCATGGGACTTGTTCTGATGACTTCTTCCTCATTCCTCAGTGCCTTGTTTTCTGTCCTCACAGCCTCATCTCCTAAGTCCTTTCCTCCTCCTGGCTCCTCCTCTCTATCCTGTCTGGGCCCTGAGTCGTCTTCTCCCAGAAGTCCTTGGCCAGCCTTGGCCTCAGGGCCCAGCAGCCGTAAGCGGGTTACCTTGCTGCCACCCTTCCTGAGTGACCAGGCACAGCAGGTGCAGGCGCTGGGGACCTTCTACCTCTTCTGCCAAGCCACAGGTGAGTTGAGGGCCCAAGTGTCCATGGCTGTCCCTTACTGCTCACCACTTAGCCTTACCTTGGCTTGGTTCCGCATCTGTACTTTCAGCCCTATTGATATTTGTAGATGGAAGTTTCTGTCCTGCCCCGTCCAGTAGCCGTTCAGTCCCCCAAAAAAACACACAGAGGCTTATATTAATTATAAACTGTTTGACCTATTAGCTCAGGCTTATTATTAACTCTCTCTTACAACTTAAATTAACCCGTAATTCTTATTTGTGCTTAGCCACGTGACTTGGTACCTTTTCTCAGTGCAGCTGTCGGAAGCCACCAGTTTGTGACAGGAGGACAGTGCAACTGTAGGAAGTCACCAACCTGAGCAGCAGGACAGTGGAACTGTGTTAACTCACATGGCCAGGCCTCTGTGTTGGCGGAGTTTTTCGTTAGGCTGCCAATCGGCTTCATCCTGCCAACCTGCCAGCCGCTGCCCAAGTAACCACACAGAGACTTAACTGATTTTAGCTAGCTCTTACTGCTTAAATTAACCCATTCTTTTCATCTGTGTGCTGCCTGGGGCTCATTTACCTCATCTCCATACTTCCCATCCTGTGTGCTCTGCTTCTCATGGCCTCTCTTTTCGACCCCCGAGACTCTGCCCCTCTTCTTCCCAACATTCTGCCCCCAAAATCCATCAGCCAATCAGCTTTTTATTAACAATGAGAACCGCATATCTTTTTTTAAAGGTTTATTTATTATATATACAGTGTTCTGTATATATAATACAGAATATATGCATGTGTGTCTGCAGGCCAGAAGAGGCCAGTTCTCATCATGGATGGTTGTGAGCCACCATGTGGTTGCTGGGAATTGAACTCAGGACCTCTGGAAGAGCAGCCTGTGGCCTTAACCTCCAAGCCATGTCTCCAGCTCTGAGAGCAGCATATCTTTACAGTATATAGAAGGATCATTGCACAGTACCGCTGAGGCTGGGCCTGCACGACCTCCATCTACTCCTGCCAGCAACACCGCTGCCCTCACCACTTCAGAGCTACCGTGAGAGGCTGGAGATGTGTTCTTCATACACTTCCTTCAGCCTTCTCATGGCCAGACTTAGGGAACACCAGGGACTAGGAACCATAGCTGGGGACTGTGGGGACCAGAAGAACTGGTACCTGAGTACTTCTGGCAGAGTGTACCTGAGAACTGAATTGGGAAGGAGCGTGCTCCTTTTCCAACCCCTCAGAATGGGCTGAGCACGTGCTGGGGAGATGGCTCAGTGGTTAAAGTACTCGCAGTGAAATCATAAGGACCAGGGTTCTCATCCCCAGAACCCACTTGTGATTCCAGCCTCGGAAAGTGGAGACGTGATCCCCAGAGCATCCTGCCTGGCAAGACTAGCCAGGTAGCTGTGCTCTGGGTTTGATTGAGAGACCTTGTCTGTGATTCAGGTGGAGAAGTGAGGATGATTCCTGATAACTCAGGCCTCCAGGTGCACATACGCACACGTGCACTCATACACATGCATACAGTGTGTGTGTGTGTGTGTGTCTTGAGCAGATACAGGAACAAATTCCCTCCCTTGCCCTCTTTCTCTTGTCCTTTCCACAAACTGGCCACCTCTGGGGCCTTTCTTTCCTGCCCTGTCCTCTGCTGAGGCCAGGCAGCTCACGGGAAGGCATTGTAAGCTTTGGTGCTGTGCTTGGCTGGTTATGGCCAGGTGTACTTTGGCGGTGTGAATGCACAGGGGCCTCTGCTGTCCCTGTGCAGGTGGCAGGCTTGGGCCTGGGTCTGCAGACAGCTCTGTCTGAAGCAGAGGCTCACGGAGCTTCGGACTGAACTTGCTGCAACTTTTCTACAAGAAGCAGTGTGTGTTTGGGTTCTGTCTCTGGTGTCTGCTGAGGAATCAAAGGCAGCTGTGCCAGGTGAGACTGCCATTGCCTCTCCCAGTGCAACCACAGCCTCATCCTATAGCCCAGGGCAGGGCAGGGCAGGGCAGGTCGGGAGCCGTGACCTGGGTTCTTCTCCTTCCTAAAGCAGCTGCTTGCCTGATGGTTGCTCTAAATGGCTTGGGGCTGGCTGATTAAAGACCTGGCAAGCCGTTTTTAGAACACGAGACTTAAAGAGAGGGTGGATAGGGAATCTTCAGGTCCTTGGCTTATGTCCTGGTGCTCACACTGGCTCTGCTGGTTACCCTGAGCTATCTTGGGGAGCCTCTCCCCTCCAGAGGGTTGATCGGGGTCAGATAGTTAGACTTGCACTCGGGGCTAGTCTCCTGCCCTTGCTCCCACCCAGGGCCTCCGTGTCATCTGGAATGGGTGAGTATGTCCCAGGGTCTGAGAGGCTTTGAGACACCCCTGCTGCGGTAAGTGAGGTGACCAGGGCAGGCTGCTGGGAAGGTCAGCCTGCGCACAGCCTAGAGCTCACTGGACCTGGCACTGCCTTCCTGGTGCCTTTAAAAAGTCTGAGTCCTATGTGAGCCAGCACAGCACTAAGGTTCCTGTGCAGACGCAGCCAGGTTCCTGAGGGACTGGAGCTACTGTATTGCCCCACATTGCACTGTGATTGCTTCCCAGATGTCTTGATGTAACTGCTAGGTTCATATTTATTCTGTCCTGCTGCCGGCTGCCATGGGGTTGGCACATGCACACCATCTACCACACCACACATATCCCATACACACACCACATATGCCATGCCACAACACACTCCCACACACCACACTCCACACACATCACAATACTGTGTCACATCATATATACCATATATAGAATACACACCACATATACCACACTACATAGACCACATCCCATCTACTACACCACACCACACATACACATAAACCACACCACACCACAAGTACCAAACCACACCACACACCACATATGCCATGCCACAACACACTCCACACTTCACATACACCACACTCCACACACATCACCAATACTGTGTCACATCATATGTACCATATATAGAATACACACCACATATACCACACTACATAGACCACATCCCATCTACTACACCATACACCACAAGTACCAAACCAACACCACACACCGCATATCCCACACCACATATGCCGTATATCCTACTTACACCATGCCATACATACAATACACATACTCCAAACTACATACCATGTTACACATACATGTACATAGTATTTACTCAGTCCGTAAACACCACATACATCACACAAATACCACATACACACAGACACACCACATAGCATATAGCAACATAAAACACCAACACCACAAATCACCCACAATGGAAAGCACCAGTCAATGTTGAAAGAGGGCCACTTGTTTGTTTCCTGGCCATCTGGTAGCCCAGACCCAAAATAATCACACAGAAATCACTGCTTGGCCCATTAGCTCTAGCTTCTTCTTATTGGCTAACTCATATATTAATTTAACCCATTTTTAGTAATTTATGTATCACCACATGGCTGTGGCTTACCAGACAAAGTTCCCAGCATCTGTCTCCATCGGGCTATATGGCTTCTTCTGACTCCACTTTCTTCCTCCTAGCATTCAGTTTAGTTTTTCCTGCCTAACTAAGGTCTGCCTTGCTATAGGCCTAAGCAGTTTCTTTATTCATTAAATGTAATCACAGCATACAGAGGGGAATCCCACATCAAGGCAACACTATGTGCACACCCCTACACAGCCACTAAAATAGACACTCACAAACAGTTTACCTACCATACACATGACAGCCACTATAGACACAAACAGCATACCACAGGGCACATACCTTTGCCCACCCTGGTAATCTAAGATACTAACTTTAGGTCTTTTACTAATGGCATAAGCAAATCTATTTACCAAGCAAGGCTCCAGGCCGAGCACCAGCATGTCTGGGGTCCCTTCAGCTGACCCTTTAGCTTCACTGGGAGCTTTGGTATGGGTTTTGGGCCTTCTAAGAGAGCTAAGGAATTGGGTGGTAGGGACTACCAAAGCTTCTTCCTCTCTGGGCCTCCTGTGGTCACTACCCAGCGCCAGATGGCACAGCACTGGTGGGGATGTACTGCCCACTTTTAATGCTCCTTCTTCCTCTCTTTAATTTCTGCACTCAAAAGGAATTGGATAGTTAAAGAACGAACAGAGAGTAAGTACCACTTCGTCATCTTTCATGTCTGACAGTTATGCAGGATTTAAGTTTTAGGTGCTTAAGTCTGTCCTCATGGGGTCTGTGGCCAGTACATCCTGCATGCTCTCATTTCACAAGAACTTGGTCTTTGAGGAGCCTTGCAGTCGGAGGTTCCTGTTCTTGGGGTTTGGTGGTTAGTTCCAACTCGGGCTACGGATTCTTTGCCTGCGGGTTTGGTCGTGAGAATACTATCTTCTGTGTTAGGGCAGAGCTGGTGGATGTGGGGAGGCTGGGCTTTAAACACACACACACACACACATACACACAGAGTTAGTGTCTCATGGTCATCCCTTGGCTATAACAAGAATTAGTTCAAGTTGGATTTTAGGTTGATGCTCATCTGCAGAGGAATGACTAATCCAACATGATTTCCTGGAAGGCATTGAGTGGCTACATAGAAGGGAGCCTTTGGCCCTGAGATCTGCAGGTGCACACCCAGGATTCTAGCAGCTGTGGATCCAGGTCCACAGAGCTGCACCTGTCCTGGACATATAGAGGCTGTATCATGCCACTGTTCCCTAAACAGACTGGTCCACAGCTATTTAAGTGGTGTTTGCATAGTAGTAGGCACCGTAAGAAATCTAGAGACAACTCAAAGTCTTCAGGATACGGTATGTGTAGGTCTTCTGCAAACATCTTTTGAAGTCCTCAGGGATCTGGAACTGATGCCCTGCAGGTACTAAGTTGATTTTTTTAAAAGTGAAATGACTATATAGGGACCTTGGTTTAAATCCAAGTCATGGCACCGTTTGTATGGTGCAAGAGGGATCTTTGTTGCAGGTCCCATGGTGGGTGACAATATACTCCATAGAGACAGAGTTTGGGTATAGAATTTATTGAGACAAAGGGAAGAGGGGACAGGAAGGAGAAAGAGAGGGAAGAGAGGGAGGGAGGGAGAGAGAGAGAGAGGCAGAGACCTTACCTCAGCTTCAGGGGACCACAGCTCGTCTGGAGCAGGGAAGCTGAAGGAAGTGTAGGCATTGTCAAGAATCAGGGTCCCCAACAAAAGGTGCCCTTGTTCGTGCCGGTGAGGTGCTTATCCCAATCCAGGCAGACCTGCGTCAGGAGATGACACAAAAGTGGCAGGGCCTGGCTGAAGGGTCCTGGCCTGACACAGCACATACCCAGCGACAGGAGCAGACAAAGTGCAACATCACTAGGCTGGTTTGAACTTTCAGGCCATCTTCAGCCCAGGGCAGGGCCAGCGAGTAAACCATGTATGAGTGCCTTCTCCTCCATGGTGGATGGAGTGGAGCCTGTTCCAGCACAGCCGGAACTTTGGTGCTCTAGGATGCAGTCAGGACCAAAGAGAGGTTACCTGCTGCCATCACAACTGTTTTGGCCCTGGGGCCAGAGCTCAGCCCCTGTTCATAATTCCCCAGACATGACAACCCCCAGTCACCCTATAATATAATTCGGGGTCTGAGGGAAGTCAAGCTTCTGCCTGCTTGGGGGTCTTCTGTTTGGGCTCACAGAGCCTCTCCCCCTCCCCGCTTTATTGGATGTCCCTGCTTTGCCCACTTTCCAGGACGCTGTCTGTCAGACAAGTTGAAGCTACCCACAGTGCCCCCTTGAATAGGCAAGTGTGGTGGAAATAGGTGACCTTTGTTAGATTTGATTTTTTTTTTTTCTTTTTGAGACAGGGTCTAACTATGTAACCAGGCTGCCCTTGAACTCACAGAAATTCTCCTACCTTTGCCTCCTGAGTGCTGGGATTAAATATGTGTGTCACCAGACATAACCTTAGACTTCATTTTTGTGTTTGAGATGGTCTTACCATATAGCCCTAGGTGTAAACCAGGCTGGCCTCAAACTCATGTTGGTTCTCCTTCTACAGCCAGCTCCCGTGCTGCAAGTGCAGGTGTGCGCCACCACACTCGCTAGTCTTTCCTGTCTTTTTCTTTCTTTTCTTTTCTTTTTCCCTAAGATTTATTTATTATGTATACAGTGTTCTGGCAGAAGAGGGCACTAAATCTCAGTACAGATGGTTGTGAGCCACTGTGTGGTTGCTGGAAATTGAACTCAAGACCTCCGGAAGAGCAACCAGTGCTCTTCACCTCTGAGCCATCTCTCTAGCCCCTTGGCTTATCTTTTCAATAGTTAGTCTAAAACCCAAAGGACCCGCCATGGTGAGGTGATGCACACGTGTAATCCTGATAGATACCTGGAGGGCGGAGACAGGTCTATAAGGAGTTCAAGGTCATGTGGAATTAGGGTTCAGATACCTGCAGAACAGGTACCACACATCCAGACACTGTCACCAGGTACTTCATTGGGGTGGGGTAGGGGTGTAGAACAACCAGAAGCGGGAAGGTGCAGGTCATGCAAGTGTGCCCTGAATAAAGGCACACCATGTCAGAATAAGAAGCCCACAGAAAGCCACAGAAGCCTAGGGGTAGGTGTGGAACTTTGTGGCTCAGCTCCTCCAGGACAGACTGGTAGAGAGCTGGAAGCTGCCCCAAGTCATTGCCAGTCCATTTGGGACTAAGATGGCCTTTTATTTGGGCAGTGATGGAGGGTCATCTGTCTATGTGGAGATGCAGAGAGAGGCTATGTGCCCACAGGTCCAGCAGACATCCGCTTCATCTGGGAGAAGAACAGACATGCCCTGGAGACGTGTGTACCTGTGCAGACTCACATGCTGCCTGACGGCAGGGCCCATGCGCTCAGCTGGCTTCGTGATGCTGTCCGAGAAACCACCGAATACAGCTGCTCTGTCCTCTCCTCAGCAGGGAACCAGACCTCAAAGGTTCAAATTACTGTGATGAGACATGGTAAGTTTCGGGCCACTCAGTCAGCAACACGTCTAGGGGCTCTGTCACTGTGTGGTCTGTCTAAAGACACTTGTGTAGCTTTAGTCTGAGGGCTAACCTACCTGCCTTCTGCTGGGGAAGAGGAAGATTTAGCTTTTCACTGCTTTATGGTGAACGGAGACACACAAGCACTATAAACACACCCACACACATGTACGTATATATGCCATATACATGTATGCCTGCACATACATGCATGTATACCAGACACAAATGCACATGCTACACGTGCAGAGCCACTTCCATAACACATATACTATACACTTCCTGCCTCCCACTTTCCCATAAGGGAAGTTGAGTTCATGTTACTAAGACAGTAGAGGCTGGGGAGATGAGGCTCTTGATAAAGTACCTGGAATGCAAACATCAGGACCCAAGTAAAAAACTGAGTGTAGGGCTTGTGAGGCTAAAAGGGTACAAGTGCTTGCCGGATGACCTAGTTTGATCCCTGGGACCCGTGTAGTGCAAACAGAGAAATGACTCCAAGTTGTTCTCTGACTTCCACACACAGGTGAACATGTGTATATGCTCCCCCTCTCTCAACAGAAGAATGTAACAGAAAATCTGGGTGTGATGGTAGGCACTTGTTACTCCATTGCTGGGGAGGCACAGGAAGGCAGATCCCTGGGGCTCAGTGGCCTATCATCCTAGCCAACTCAGTAAGCCCCAAGACCAGGGGAGCCTAGGGTCAATCTCTCTCTCTCTCTCTCTGGAGCCTAGGGTTGATCTATTTCTGTGTGTGTGTGTGTGTGTGTGTGTGTGTGTGTGTGTGTGTGTGTGTGACTCCACACTGTCTCAGTCTCACACACACAGAGCCCCTCTTTCCTGTGCCATTTCTCATGTGGTCTGCTGATTTCCATTTGCAGGCTACTTAGTTACCATAAACTCAACACCAGGCGCTCATTTGAGCATTAAACACACTGGCTTGTTTCGAACCTACAACCTTCCATCATCTGCTTCCCAGAAGAGCCAAGGTGTCACTACCACACCTGGTTTGGGATTGAATCACTTTGAAGCCAGTGTCTTCATGTTGGATCAAGGGTCTGATTTCCATGAGTTCCGTGTGTTCTACTGAGCTGTTTTATGCGTTGTCTTGTGGCACACCTCACAACAGATGTGGAGGTAAACACCTTCAAAGCCTGATTCCTGTGTGCTAGTTTAGCTGGGTACCCAGGCAGTCCAGACACACATCTTGGCATCTGAGGTCACTGTCTGGTGGTGCTGGGCATGTCACCTGATTCCTCCCCCCCCCCCTTTGAGACAATCTCACTGTGTATCTGTCAACGGAGACCTCTTTAATCTCTGGAAGCTTGTTTTCTCAAACAGTTACAATTTAAAATGGCTTGACCTTTTCACACTTTTCTAGGGCCCATTAGTTAGGGAGCCCTTGCCCCCCAGTTCTGGGGCATTTTCTTGACCATGTTTACTATTTTCCATCTACTGTTCAGAATTTTTCCAAGATGTGAGAACTGGACCTCTCCTCTAGGGAGCTACCTTGTTCTTTCCTGTCATCTTTTGACTTTCTACTTCCTCATACGCTGTCTCGGCTTCACCTTCTAAAGCCCAAGGGGCCTTTTAGAAATGAAGGCTTTGGCTTTGTTGCATTCTGCTGGTTCACAGCTGGCCATCTTCTGCCTTCCACAATGTGGACAGACTTCATTCTCCCCGGCTTTCTTCTCTCCATGTTGTCTTTTTCAAAGCATGTGTGTGGACCAAGTAGCATCTGCATGGCCTGGGGCTCACTAGGAAGCCAGGGTCAGAACTGCAGGGTGAGGAGTTCAAAAGCCCCCTGCAGGTGATGCTGAGCACGGGGCTGAGGAACAGGCTCTCCTCCCACTGAGCACAATACAATCTCCTCCTCTCCGCTCTTACAGAATGAGTCTTCTGTTTCAGCCGAAGTGGGGCTCAGCATTAAAACCCAGCAGCAGCCCAGACCTAGAACAAATATCAGGCACAGCAAGGCTTAGCTGGGTTGGAGATCTAGAGACTTAATCGGGGAAAGGGCAGGGCTTCCTCCTTCAGTGTTGAATGTCCCCTCAATCTGCTTGTTATGTACCCAACCCAGAGACCTTTTATGTGCTAGGGCAGAGGGAGGGTGGCCCCTGATTGGGCAGTCTTTTAAGCCATAGCATGCTACCTCTCCCTTATCCCGACGATGCAGCACTGATTGCCCCCTGGCTCTGCTGTGAAGCTGTCCTGGGACAGCAGCTGTCTCGCAACTGCCCACTTTCCGGGTCTCCTGCAGCTTCTGAAAGAAAAGATCCTCTGCTGTCCTTCAGTGGGGTCTAGAGAAAACTCCAACTCACTGTCCACATCTGAGCAATGGCCTGATGCCTGGTCATCAGGATGAACCAGAATCAGCAGAGGGGGGCCTGTGACTTTCAAATTCTCACGGGGAGTTAGGGCAGCACTAGCAAGCACCTACAGTCACCAGAGAGGCACCAGGCAGTGGGAAGCCAATTTACAAGGATGAAGAAATAACCGATGCTGAGACAGAAGCCCACAAAGGCAAATGATTTGCCCAAGGTGAGCAGCTAATGAAGATGCAGGATGGCAATGCCATACCCAAGCTACTAACTACACACATGCACATGCGCGCGCACACACACATACACTTTTAGCATTAAGGATCATAGGATACAATCATGCTAGGACAGGTCAGTATTAATCTGTGCCACCCAGTGTTTCCAGGTCCCACAAAGCTGCAGCAGAATGAAGTGATTCTAATAGTTGGAGGGGCCGCACTGCTCACTACGCTGTCAGAATCCGTCTGCAGGGCCCCAAGCATGGCTGGGAAGAACTAGCTCCCTCTCCCCCATTATGGCCAGCAGTCTGAAGCTTCAAGTTAGGGCTCCCATGGTATTCTGAAGGACCACTGGGCATTTGTAGTTGTTCTTCATGTTGGATGGGCTCATGTCCATGAAATTCCTTCTGACATTGGTGCCTTTTTACATGCTGTTGGCTTTGTTTTCAGAATCCAGAAAGCACACTTAGGGGGCCATGGAGAGAGAGGCAAGGGAAATCTCCCCAAAGCCCTGAACCCACAGTCATGCTGGCTTCCCAAGATTCTACCAACTTTGGGGAGAACTAAGCTAGATTCTGAGCAGGGGCACCTGTTCTTACTGAAGGGGTCTACAGGCTCACCTGCAATGTGGGGCCTCTGGCACCCAGGAAATGACAATGGGATGTAGAGGCCAGGTCCACTGGAGCCTTGGAGAGCACCTGTGGCTGGGAAGAGGGGGTAAGTGGAGACACCGACTGTGAGGTGGACACACTTGGAATCGCAGAACTAGAAAGGCCGAAGCAGGAGGATTTCAAGTTTAGATCCAGCCTGGGATACCGGGTGAATTCAAGGCAACTAGGTCAAAAAAGCAAAGCTGTCTGAAAAACCAAGCAACCAGTAATGAAATGCAAAACCCACTGGCTCCCCAGATCTCTACTGTGACCCCCTCAGGCCAGTGAGGGGATTCTCCATTGGGACAGATCACTAGAACAGATCAGAACTTCAGCCTAGGGTGTGGTCCTGTCGGACAGTACACATCTATAGCACTCCAGAGGTCTCCAAAGCTGTGACCTTGACTCTGCTTGTCTTGCAGAGGCATTCCAGCAAGAAAAGTGGAGCCAGGAGCTTGCTGCATGGCGAGCTGTCGCTGGGGAGCACGATCGGCTGATGCAGGGCTGGAGGAAGGCATGGGTACGTACCTGGCCACCAGGGAGACTTTGCAAGGGATCCCTATTTTGCCAATGGCTCCTGTGGCTTCCTCTCAGTTCTTAGAGAAGTTCTGCTTCTCGATTACTCTGGGGAAACTCTGGGCTGTCATTGAGGCTAACAGAAGCAAGATGGTAGAGGAGACCAAAATAGGATTTGTAGGTCATGCACAAGTCAGCAGCTATCCACTGTCCAGGGCTAGCCTAGCTTCTGGGCAGGTCTCTTGGAGCACACTGCTTTCACGAGAGCAGAATAGCTGCTGCTGCTGCATGACATGGAGAGGGTGCCCTGGCGCAGCCCTGGTGGGGTTGTTACTACCCACGAGCCTGCAGAAGAGAGGGCATCCACAGGAAGGATGCCCTCAGATAGGCTCAAGTTCCTGTGCTGCGCTCTGGCCAGGACTTCCTTTGGGATGAGCTACCACACAAATGGGGAGCTCTGTCCTCAAGAGGCCTGGGTGTGTTGTCAGGTCCTCTCTCATCAGAGCCTATGCAGGTCTCCCCTCCACGGTCCTCTGGGACACTAGGAGATGCTGCTCTACTGATGTCATGGTGCCACAGGACAACAGTCCCTTTCTGAAGGCAGGATGCTTGGCTCACCTGTCTGGAGCAGGAGCAGGAACTTGAGCACACAGGCCTCTGAGCCCTTGGGGAAACCACCTGAGTACTTATCCTTAAACTCTGGGTGTGTGGGGCTCTGCCCCAGGACAAGAAGGATCTATTCTATTAGGCCACAACATTTTTTATTTATTTTATTTTTTTTTAGGAGAGCTGCAGCAAGGACAACTTCTAGCTACCTGAGGCAGCCCTCAACAGAACCCAACTGACCTTGTTGACATCAGCTGCAGACACACCTGATGAAGGCACCAGCACCTACCGCACCAAGCTGTTTTGGTCTTGGTTGGCTCCACACACACTCACTGGCCACTGCCTGAGTGGCCCCTCCTAGAGGCTGGGAATTTCTAGGTCAGAACTCCCGTGGGCATGAGACAGACCAGGACTCTTTTACATTAGCTGTTTACATAACAGAAGGGTCAGCTGCCGGAAGAAACAGGTAGCTGACCTGTTTGAAGCTCCACATCCAAGCAGCTGATGGAGCAGCGTGTGACAGCTAACCTGATGGAGGCCACCCCTGCATTATCCCTAGGACTTCACTGCACACTCATGCCCCTCCCCCAGGGTCAGCACAGCTAATCTCCGCTCCGGTTTTGTGGCTCTAAGTCCAATCTGTTGATGTGGCCACCTAGTAAACAGGTCATTGATTTTGTTCCAGGATCCGCCCTGGGACAGGAGAGGTGAGACTTCATGTGAGAATATTTTGCCTTAAACCTTGAGTGAGGATGAGGAAGTTGCTCTTTGCTAATCTCAGAACACAAGGCTGTTTTCCAAAGCACAGTGGTTCCCACCCACGTTTACCCTGTCAGCGCTCCGCTTCTGAGGTAGAAAAGCCAAACAGGTCAATTATGCAAACCTTCTGGTGCCGTATTAAACTGTTTTGCCAGTGCTGAGTAAGTGTGTCTTGTAGGTGCTTCCAAGTCTCCATATTACAGTCTTTGAAGCTTGTGGGTGTGTGGGACCTGGGTAGGCGTGGCCCAAGAGATGCTCAGCCTTTAATCTTGGTAGACCTGTCTCTTCTTGTCAATTATAAAACCTAAAACTCTCTTCCAAACAAAGCCATGCCTCTCTATGATCCCTGGAGACTCTGGCTTGCTCAGCCCGCTCAATGTCCCTTCTTTCTGGGACAAATGAGTCAGGTAACCATCCAGGTGTGAGGTTAGCTGGTCCCTCCGCAGCCCAGTGTGAAAAGGGACCCTGAGGTAGAGACACTCGAGGTCATGTGTACCCTCCTCTAGGTGTACTGCCTGCCACCTACTCACCTATCTGACCGGTGCACAGTAACCACACCTGCAGCAGCCCCCTCATACCTTTGCAAAAGAATTTTTTATAAACTATTTTCACTGGTTCTATTTGAGGTGTGGCTTCAGCCATGAGAAACTGCCCAGTCCCTCTCCTTATTGTTGCTTCCTGCATCTTCCCTGAAGTCTGAACTGGTCTATGCCCCAAAGCAGCCACACACTTGAGGATGCAGAGAGCATGATTATTAAGGCTCCTTGCTCAGCTGGGTGGGGTGGGGCAGGCCTTTAATTCAGCACTTTGGGAGGCAGAGGCAGGCGGATCTTTCTTCTAGGCTAGCCTGGTTTATCTACAGAGCAGCCAGGGCTATACAGAAAAACCCTGCCTCAAAAAACCACACCTTTAATCCCAGCACTCAGGAGGCAGAGGCAGGCAGATCTCTGAGAGTTCAACGCCAGCCTGGTCTACAAGAGCTAGCTCCAGGACAAGCTCCAAAGCTACAGAGAAACCCTGACTCGAAAAAACAACAACAACAACAACAAAATCCTTGTTTGGTGCACCAAGAGTGGGCGCCACACTCTTGGTGTTGGTGCCTGTGACCCTCGTTCCCCGCACACCCTGGCACAGGGGAGGCCAGGGGAGACTAGCTGACTTCATCTAAAGCACTGGTTTCAGCAGGAGCCCCTACTGCTAGCAGAGTGATGACAGAGCCACGGCACCACAGCAGGGACCTGGTGAAGGACATCTAGAAACAGAACGAGGAGTCAGAAACCTACTCACGGGCGCCTGCATGGGCCAGGAGCCTAGACTAGCAGACACCATGGACAAGGCAACCTTAGGGCAGAAGGCCCTCAATCAGGAGACATTGCAGATCAATTTTTTCTCTTATCAAATTTCAGAATTCTACTGCTGAGTGTAGCTGACATGGTACTTTAAAAAATCTTCATAAACTAATTTCATAGCTTTCCCCCTCAAATAATCTGTTTCCAGACTTCCTCCAATCCACTTGCTACCCTCTGACAGGGATGGGAGAAGACAGAGTACCCCGTCCTGCTGACATGGACACCAAACTCATTACAGTGACAACACGGGACCAAACCGACCACAAGCTCCAGACAGCAGGTGGTGCTTGCCGCACAAGCTCCTCAGGCCACACGGCCAGCCCTGCATTAAGCGTGCCATCTCTGACTCTTCACTTCTCAGAGACAATGTCGAGCACAACCCAATTCAGCTAACAGAATTCCCAAAGCCAGGCCATGTTTACTTGGCAGGCAGAGAGTAAAACTTTTTCCTGACACAGGGTAGACTTAGCAAAAGAGATGCAAGCGCAGGTCGAGGATTCAGAGGTCCCTGGTTCTGTGGCTGTGCATGGTGGCCGTATTAGCAGTGTGAAAGAGGAACAAGTCAGTAAGGAATCCCAGTGGGAATAACCAGTAAGACTGACACCACCAGAGTCTGAGATGAAATTAAATAATCACTCTTTATTCAAAATAAATAGCCCTCTCACTTGCAGAGAAAATATGCAAGCAAGCTCCGTCCTTTAAGACAGAAACCACATTCATCGTACGGTCATTAAAAAGATCTGTAGAATCCACACTGAAATCTACAAATTTGATATATACTGCTTCTTTGGAAAATAAAAACTAAAAGGATTAATTTATGTCAAAAAATCATGTTAGAAACTAATTTTCTTCTGAGGCTCATTTTAGCAAATCCTTGGCAGCACAAAGTGGCAGGGCTCCAACCCCTGAGAAGGGGCCCTCCATAGTCCCCACAGGAGCACAGCCCCTGTTCCGCCTCCCCGTCACTGGTTCAGTGGCTCTGTAATGGAGTGTTTCCTAGGCAGCCACAGTACCCAGGACCACGGTCTCCAGCATTTTCCAGGTCCAGTGTGCAGAGGGAACCAAAGCTGAATCACCGGCTCTTAGGCAAGGCTCTCACGAGTATATCTGTGTAAGAGCTACACCAGCTGCTTCCTTTGCCCTTAGGCCAGTGAATTTCCAACTCTACAGTCACATAAACTACATCGGGTCAGTAAAGAATCGAGAAGGAAGTCTTTCTCCTGCCTCCCCCATCCTTACCCAATACACAGACACACAGGCAAGAACTCTTCTTATAAATTCAAGTTCATCATCTGAGAGGTTGAGGCCTCCAGGGAGTCTTCCAGCTCCAGGGCACGCTGACTGTATGCTTCCAGATGCTTTCTCCAAATCTCAACTGCAACAGGAAAACAGCCCAAGTGACAGACACTGACAGGTCACAAAACTCCACAGAGGCATGATGAGATGCTGCTAGCTGTGCAGGTCAGCTCTACTCACTCTTCCACACTTGCTAGGCTGGAGCTCCCTTAGTGAGCAGCATCAATCACAGCCCCCAAAAGCATCCATCAACAGTGACCCTGGCAACTTGCCCTCCCAAGTTGGTCTTAGGTATAACTGCCCTTAAGCCACCTCTGTTTAGGTGGTATTTAGCTCAAATGTTAAGATCATCAAATATAAGACCTTGTAGCTTCTGACATCTGAGGACTAAGATCTCAGAAGCAATGGGCAAGAGATGGATTCAGGACTGCCTGGACCTACCACAGTCCACTGTGGCAGCTAGTCTTAAGGATTCGGTGCCAAGCTGTTCTCAAACCTCCTGAGGTTCTAACTAACACTGAACGCAGAGATCCCCTCCCCACAGCACTTACTATAGTGTGGTTCTTTTCCAGTGGAGGCGAGGGCGCCTTCATCAGTGGACTGGATGGGGTCCTGTATGGGTGGGTTTGGAGGAGTCTGAGGCCCAGGCTGTCCTGCCAGTTCCTGCCGCACCGTCTCCAACATGGTCTTGTATGCTTGCCGGGCAGCCATGGTCAGCTCAACCATCTTGTGGAACTGGTCCTGAGCACAAGAGAGCACATTGCAGGACAGCAAGGTAGGGGTAACAAGGGTTGTGGAGTCTCTGCCATGGAGTGCTGCCAGGAGATGAGGAGACTAGCCAAATTTTTTGTTTTGTTTTGTTTTTGTTTTTGAGACAGGGTTTCTCTGTGTAGTTTTGGTGCCTGTCCTGGAACTCACTTTGTAGACCAGGCTGGCCTCGAACTCACAGAAATCCACCTGCCTCTGCCTCCTGAGTGCTGGGAGTAAAGGCATGCACCACCACTGGCCAAATTTTTAGGCACATGGTACCTCTCGGTTGGTAATAAACCTAGAGTTAAATTCAGGACCTTCACTTGGTGCTATTATGGAGACAAAGGCTACTGCTTTCTGAGAAGATTCTGTTTTGGGATAAATTCTCTGTAGGGTCAACACAACAGAGGCTACGGTCTGCCTGTTGATAGGCTTACATTATAGGTCACGACCCCAAATTCTTCCCATGGACAAGGAGCCAGAAGGCTGGGGCTCAACTCACCTGGGCCCCATCGTAGCTGAAGATCCCCACGATGCTGACAGGAACTGCTTTGTTCAGACTACGTCCTAGAGCCTTGCGGTTAAGGGCAAACACAAAGGGGATGTTTTGCTCACAGGCGCAATCGATGATAGTGTGCAGCGTGTCGTCCAGGCCACCTGGTCAAATAAGCACAGGTCCACAGGACATGGGGTTGACGCTGACTCTGTAGATAACGAGGTACCCCACCTATTATCACAATAAGGTAGGCCGCCAGCCCATGCCAACGCCACCCGGAGAGAGCGAGTCCCAACTACAAGGAAGAATCAGTTCTCAGACAGACACCTCCAAAATGTAAGCCGCACCATTCCCATCGTGCTCAGGGAAACTAAGAATCAGCTAACAGTACTCTGACAGGTCACTGACCAACTGCCCCACACGTCCCACTCGCAGGCTGAAAACCAGAGGCGCAGAGGGGCTGGGGGCCTAGCACACTGTGTAGGCCCAGGTGTCTGGTGTGCATGGGCTCCTGGCTCCTTACTACCTTGGGCCTGCTTCTGATGAGGTACCATCAAGGCCAACACGGAGATGAAGGAGCACTTTACACAGGTGACATACCTTGTCACTGGGCGCCCAACAGCACCGAGGATCACCCCAACAGAAGGGAGATCTGTCAGGGTGCTGGTGGCACACGCCGCTATGTTCCAACATTTCACAAGAAGAAATGAAGAAATGACCTATTTACCTCAGAAATAGAAGACCACAGGGGTAGACTCACAAAGCCCAAGAACAATTTTCAGAACATACTAACAGTGGAACACCTTGACCCCTGCCCTTCCCATGTGTATCTAAAGTGGCTGTCAACCCCACTTGAACCCAACCTCTGTTCCTGGTACCTGATGATCTGAAGAGACCAAATGCTCACTCTACATTAGCCCTGAATTTTAAAAAATCATGGGCTTCCTACAACTGGGATATGAGAAATTTTGAAAATAGTATGGGGAAGGGATGCGGGAGACATGCTGCATGTCCTGCATTCTGCAACTCTACCCTGACAGCTGCAAGTGTGGTCCTGGGCCCGCAGGCTCCCCACATGCCTGTTCTCACACTGCCATTGCTCTCCAGCCTTTACCGCAGGAAACTAGAGAAGCACAGAGACACCCGGCTCTCACGATAGCCCTCTGCGAAGGCAGGGCCAGGCATGCAGGACCTCCATGCTAGACCTCTGACAGCAGCGTAAGAAAGGGCCGAGAGGGAGAGCAGGAGGCAGAAAGAGCTTTCCAGGGGTGTATGATTAGCCGTCTACTGGGAAGCGGAGGTGTTAGGAAGCTAAAAACACACCAGGTAGTGGTACCCAAAACACTTACTTGGAGCTGTGGAAGGAAATACTCCAAGATTTGCCTAAGGGTCAACTGAGGTTGCTAGGGCAGGAAGCCCAGGCTTGCCTTTTCCATTAGCAGGCTTTGTGGGACCACTTCAGTTTACTGTGTATAGATGTACACTGCAGACAAGAGCAGAAAACAGTCCGCTCCTTCTCTCCCATGATCTAGCGCTACCAGACACACTGCCAGCCAGACAAGTCACAAAGCCCTGCCATGTTCTGGCTGGTGGTAATGGTGGGGGCAGTGCTGAGTCAGCACAGAGGGGAGCTGCTGGGGTGCACATGTAGGTGTCTAGCTGTTGCTGTTCCAAGGCCTGGGGTGTAAAATGGTGACCTGAGACCATGGCTCAGGACTTGGCACCAGATCTGCACCTGTTACTTCAGTGTGACTCTGGCTGAGTTAAAGGTTACAAGAGAAAGGAATGGGACGGGGAGACAGTTCATGTGTTCTAAGACGTTCCCTCCACTTCCTATGAGTGAGCAGCGATGCTAAATACAGACAGAACAAACGCAAGCAGGACCAAAGCCCCTCCAAGGTCTCCAGCAACCCCACTGAGCTCTGGAGCAGCAGCTGGCATGGCAGAGGCACACTCTACCCTGCTGGCTGGTCTCAGAGGAAGGCCCGTGGCCAGGGAGGGCTAGAACCAGTGCTGGACAGGGGCTCAGTTCACAGTACCCTGGGACTGACTGCAAGTAAGCTGCCAGTGTGCCCACCGACTATGTGGGACTGTGAGCCCAGAACACTGGGCACTGGCACAGGAGCCTGTGGGGTGCTGTCACCTTTGGACTGTGTCTTCTCACAGTTGGGAGAGATGATGATGCACTTCAGCTTCCTGAGCTTCAAGTGCTTCAGGACTTCCCTCAGCCCCAACACGAGCCGGCGTTTGGTCTTGGCCTTGACAGGATCCTTCTGGTACATCCGGTCTTGGAAGCGCACCAGTTCCTTGAGCAGCCCCGTGACACAAGCATCTACTTCTTTACTAAGCATCTGGCTGCAGTAGCTGAAAGGAGCCGAGGCACAGGAGATGCAGACAGCATCAGACAGAAGCCATGGAGACAGCAGTACTCACCAGGAACATGCAACTCCTGATAAGCCTGCAACACAAAGGCCGGATGCAGCCCTCTACTACAGGGAGAGATGCTAGGGAGGTCCAGCCCTGCACGCCTTATGCAGGCCCTACCTGGCTTCTCTTCTGTGTCACCCTGCTCTGAACACTCATCTAGAGAGATGAGGAACCCAGTGAAGGAGGAGGTATGAGCAATGCTGACTGCATCATACCCTAGGGAATTAAACTGAAGCCAGGCGTGGTGGCCATACTTGCAACCCTAGTATTCAGAGGCTGCAGAAGCAAGAATGTGAGTTCAAGGTCAAGACTAGCCTGGGCCACACAGTAAGTCCAACACACACACACACACACACACACACACACACACACACACACAAAGTAAATACATAAGGAAGAAAGAAAGGAAAAAGAAAAGAATGGAGGGAAAGAGAGAGGGAAAGAAACTTCCGTGAAAGTGAAACATGGAAGGCCCAGTTACTGTCACTGCTACCCACTCCAGCTTCAAAAACAGACTAGGGACACTCTCCAACCATTAGCAGAAACACACAGGAAGAGGATGCCTATATCCCACCCCGATCAGAACTAGTTCTGTAGTCGATTTCAGGCACAGGATTACAACATACTGTGGCAGACACTGCAGCCTGTGCTCCTACACCAGCAGGCGGGAGAAGTCAGAGTCAGCCCCAACCCAAGCCCAGCAGCCAATGCTCACTCACTCCCGGAACCTCCGGCTGTGGATCTTGGGGAAGGTGGCACTGCCAGGGGCGGGCTGGCAGACCTCTGGGTCCCTCTGAAACTCCGTGGCAGTTGGCTCTTCTGACTCACCCTCAATCACAGGTGTAGAAGATACTGATTCTTCTGTTTTCTCTGAACCTTCAGAGAAGGAAAAAGAAAAAAAGAGCAATCACTGTGCACCACTTCAGGGCCTTGCACACAGAGAGCAGCCTGCAGGGCAGAAGGCTCTTGGTGTCAGTAACACAGCAACAATCCGTCATCCTGCAGAGCCAGCCAGGAAGAACAACCCAGCCTTGGAGGAGGCAGGAAGATGTGTGGACTGCCAGAGCAGCTTTCTGTTCTTTCCTATGCCCCTTCTGAAGTCTGTCCACTCACTCATTTTCACTGTGTTAAAATACAGAAAAGTTACTATTAAGTGTACAGTTCAGTGGTAAAATCTACTTTTTATGTTTGGAAACTAAAGAATAACATATTAGG